CAGTTTTAACTGAGACAGTTTTACATTTCTACAGTTTTACAGTTACAGTTAAGTGCGCTTTAACTGAAACTGGTGCATACCTAAGTAAAACACTTTCTTGACGAGATATGGATCAAATATTACCATTTCCCAATACTGCCATTTTCACTATCAGAAATGTATTTTTTCACAAAATCAAGACGATATATGGAATCAGAGCTAAAAGCTGAGTCAAACAAAATATCTTGAGACCATATTTGTATGCACTCATTTTTTCAAATATCCGAATAGAAAGAAGTCGAAATCTTGCCACCAGGATAAAAGCCATTCCAAAATTCGGAGACATATATCCTTCGACTCAGCTTTTGACGCTAATTCCGAATATTGTCTTGGTTTTGTGAAAAAAATGTCAATGACAAACAATGAACTATTCTCTACGTTCTCGAGTTAATTGACAGTTAAGAAATAAACAATAATTTTAACAATAATTAATAAACAAAAATTCGATTTATCGAATAAACCTTGCTATATTACTTTTCATACTTGATCTAAAAAAATCTACGCGATGTTCTGATGACGAATAGCAGATTTCGTTAAATTGACAAATACCGCTAGTTATTGAAGTGAGAAACTAAAACATGAATTTGTCATCATTTTTTTAACAAGACAACAGTAAAAAATAATGTGTCGCATTTATATGTCGCAAACTCTCTGAGCAAAATGTATCGCAAAAGAATGTGTTGCGGTCGAAGTGTCGCAGATACTAAGATTTGAAAGATATAGTTTTAGTACATGTGTTAGGCTCTAGGAAGAAAACCACGCCGCTCCTGCCTCTGTTTTAGTATGCGTTAACATTCTCCATTTGATATTTCTTTTTCATCTCTTGCTCTTGAACGCAGAGACAGATGTTTCTGATAAAAGAAAAATGTAACTCATTTCTTTGATCTAGTAGTTTTCTAAGACTTGAAACCTTCCTTTGAGGCAAATGGAACTTACTTGTTCGTACTTCGTAGCCACCGTCTAAGTTAATCCAGTTTAACCTAGTTTTTATAAACAATTCGATCACTGGTTATGCTCCTAAAATCATATCTCAATAGCTAAACTCTTTTGAGCCCGTTGGAAATTACAGACAAGTTCGTCGCATCGACATTACGTAGAGTGGCTGAAACAAAGTACAATTATTTTAAAAATAGAATAAGAGACGAACAGTACTAAATCCTCACTATTTTCTATACGGTTAAAGAAATGTGTCGTATATATTGCAGAATATGTCACATTTTTGCGACCCATACGACACATTATATTTTAGTATGAGAGCAGGTTAATATAACTTAAGAGCCATTGCACGAAAGCCACGATCGACGTTCTTCAATCGCTGTTCCCAAAAAAAAATTCAAACTAGGGGTTCTTGTAGACTAAACATTTTAATGAATTTTGGTAAAAGGAGCAAATCAAAAAGTTGTATTATTGCTGAGATATTGAAATTTTACGAAAAGCCCCGAAAAACCTAGATTCCGCCATCTTAAAAATTTGCCAACTTTAAAACCTTGTAATTCAGTAACAACAGATTACTTAACCTTGGAGATTTTACCATACATAGTAGATAGTGCGAGAAAACTTTTAATTTTTCTGTAGCACCCATATAAAACAAAGTCGACCGTGAGACTTTCAACCATATTTCCAAATAGATTATGTGCTTTGGCATATAATCTATTTGGATCTCAGGATTGACTTCGAGTAGAAGCTACCTTGAAAGAGAAAGAGTAACATAAGGTAAAATAAAATAAACATTGCCATCAGATTTAGCATGGTCGACTATGGTTGGTCTGGTCTTCTTTCAAGTTTACTCGAAGCCACTGCGTGCCAGTCCTGGGGCCCCATGAAAACCAGATACAACGTCCAAATCACTCAAAATCAAAGTCTCGCTTCGCTTCATTTTGAAGAGGACACTTTAGGCTATTTAGTCATTAAGAAACCAATATATTACCATATATATTGCTACTTTATCGTTTAAAGTTACAAAACGTTTTTCTAGAGATCTCCTAGGCTGAGAATTCCTTTCAGCTTTGTTTTAGTTATAAAAAGATAGCTTAAAGTCTTAGCTATCGAATCGCAAAAACCACGAGTTTCTATCGCCTTTCGTTCTTGAGTTATTCAAAAACCACTGACTGGCATAAGAAAATCCACCAGAAGGGAACCTATTAGAGTTGTCCTCGGTGGAACTCGCACATAGGACTGCATTAATAGTAGAATTAACTTGTTCTTGTATTACCATTGAATTCCTTGTCAAAAGTTGCACATCAAACTGGTTTTTATGAAATTTTAATATACTACAGCAGAAATACACTGATTGAAGCAAGCCTTTAGAACTCGGTGCCCCCGTAGCCGCTTTAAACCCACAAATCACAGAATGGACTATGATATTACACCTGGTGTGCTGCAGCAGTATACTAAGGGGCTTCGGAATGGTCCCGTTTCCATGGAGAAAATCTTTCCTCAAAAATTGCAACTTTCAAATCGTCTGTATTAAAAACGAAAACACCGGAGGCCGTCAAACTTTTACCAAATATGCTTTGGCATATGATCTGTTTGGAAATATGGTTGAAAGTCTCACGGTCGACTTTGTTTTAAATGGGTGCTACAGGAAAACTTTCTATCAACTGTATAGTAATCAATATTAATATAATTTGATAATTGATACATGGCTTTATAAGTTACATTTGTTATTTTATTTACGAGTTACAATGAAACAGGTAATTTTACAGTATTAACACATCTGCCGCATTTGATTGCAAGCTCAGTTCCAGACAAAGTACCATTTTCATATCTTTTAAAATATTCCTTCAATTTATTATCACAATTATTGTATACTTTCTTCCGTTTGACTGTTTGCGTGAAAGACTCTGTATAACGTGTATAATTATATTCATTTTCTTCTTTTAATGCTTCGATAAACTCATAAATATGTGGATGGACACCAAAATGCTGTTTTAATCGATTATGAAAACCTGCGACATAATTATTTGTTCGCGACTGATCAGTAATAATTAAATCATGAACATTCCAAATAAATGATGGAATATATAGCGTCATCATCAACATATGTATCTGTTATATAATCATTGAATGTTGTGGTTCCAATTTGGCCGAGATAGTTGAACTTTACGAAAAGTCCTTAAAATCAACATTTTACACTTACGAGTGTAAACTCTAACCCGTCTGACTCGTTAGAACAAAGTGGCCAATTTTGGATGCGCGTGTTTTGGTAATGATATATGATCACGACGAAAAATTTTCATCACAGATACTTCAAAGTGTCTACTATAAAATGACGGAGATCCGAGCTCTACACATAGTTTCGTTTTTTCTGATAGAGATCGTGCTAAGAGCGAAAAATTGTTTTTTGGCCAAGTTTCGAGGATTGTACTTTTAAAACGAAATAAAAGTTGGAACTTTTAATTATATTTTCAGATAGACCTTCTTCTAGACCTAGACAATAACTGTTTATGAAACAGCTTATAAGGTCCCAGATGATTTCGAATCTGAGTTCTTGACCTCCAAAGTTAATATTTTGGATAAAATGCGCTGTTTTGTCGGACACATCTTCCCAAGCGGATGAGATGAATTTCATGTTCCCTAAAATATATATGGAGTACACCGTGGTACTATACGATACCATAATGAGATTTTTGGGACAGTGTTACACGGCTTGGAGGGGCCAAAAATGAGGGGAGGGTGTTTACAAAAACCCATGACTGTATAAGTCATTACTGGCAAAGTCAAATATTTCCCCGCTCATACCCTGCAAAAAAGACTTTGGTCACTGATCAAAGATACAAGCTGTATGGGTTGAGTAGTACGGGTAGGGCACAATATAGCAATGCACTAGATGGAGATGGGAACGCTTCATTACTACTGGTCATACTAATCTAAAAACGCCAAAAAAATGAAAAACTGTCGGCCGAATGTTTTTCTTTTGTCCTACAAAAATATTTTACCAACACAGGTGAACATCAGTGTCATCTAAAAGTTCGTTTCGCACCCATGCGCCTCACTGTCAAATTTTTGTTTTTAATCCCTATTATGTCTTGTCAACTTCTGTCTATATAAACACCACAGTATACTTTTAATATTTCGAATGTCTTTTCTGACTTCATCTCTTCCTTCTTGTAAGAGAAGTGTCGACACAGTCTCGCATGATTTTGGCATGCCAATGTGGTACTGGTATCAGTTAGCGCCTCACTCTAATTAGTACAAAATTACCGAAAGCAACGATAATAAAAAAACTAATTACTAATTAAATAAATTTCACTGCAATACCGTGAAAAGTTAGTGTGCACCGATACTAATCGGCACTTGCTTGGCACTAGTGCGTATCGGAAACAGCCAGTGCGTTGCGGCATGCTATGCGCATGGATTTTTAAGTGCCACACTAAATTTTTTTGTAGGAGTTAACTAAGTTTTAATGGAGTTATAAAAATATTAATCGCAAGTACGAGGAGCGAAATATTTGACTTTTTCGACGAAACCTCAAAAACAACAGTGTATTATTATTTCTGGATCATAAATTGACATTTACTGAGCGGATTTCGTTTCTAAATCTTCAGCATTAGCCATATGAGAAAAAGGGCTAACTTAGGACTTCGATATGTAATGTTAACGCCACATAACAAATCAAACAGACAGTCAGCCTTATCTCTCCTACGAAATAAAAGAAGAGGATAGAAGTCCCATCTCTTCGTTGACCATAATAATCAAATACATGTGGTTCCATACACTTTTATTATATGAAAAATTTTTTGCTATGATGTTTTGATTTGATTTTTATATAATTCCTAGTTTCTTTTTTTCTTTATTCAGCGGTGAACATATTAACGTTGATGTTATTTTAATAAACAAAAAACTTGACAACAACAACAACAACAAAATAAATCTAGCGAAAAAGAAATCGATAGAAATACAAAACGATAAATTAATTTCCTTTTCCTAATTTATTTATATGCTGTGTTAGATCATTAAACTTAACGATTTGATTTGGCAACACGTTCTAATTCATCTTTACGTTTAATCGCAAATGATGTCGATGATCCCTAAATAAAATAATAAAAAACCATGTTAAACAAACAAATTAACTACAGGAGAAGAGATAACTGTTTAATCAAACAGATTATTCCTAAGTTTAGTGATATATTGCACCAAAATAATTCTCAATTTCTCAATTATAGAAATGAGATATTTGTAAATTTTGTTGTATTTACTTTTAGAGAACAGTAACAGTGATACGTCAAATTTACGTAGCGCTTGACTAGTTCTCTACTGTTAAAATTTAAAACAAAACGATAAAAACTATTCAATATGTTAATTGTCACATGTAAGTCTGTTTAGATCTCTTAAGAAATAAACGTTGAAATAACAATGCATGTAAAAATACTCTAGCACACGACCGACATTCATAAACACGAATAAGTGATATGACTTCTAATGTGTGCTCTGCATTTCGGATTTTTACTAAAGTTAAGTTTAGTGAGATGTTGCACCAAAATAATTCTCAATTTCTCAATTATAGAAACGAGATATTTGTAAATTTTGTTGTATTTACTTTTAGAGAACAGTAACAGTGATACGTCAAATTTACGTAGCGCTTGACTAGTTCTCCACTGTTAAAATTTAAAACAAAATGATAAAAATAAATTGTTCAATATGTTAATTGTCACATGTAAGTCTGTTTAGATCTCTTAAGAAATAAACGTTGAAATAACAATGCATGTAAAAATACTCTAGCACACGACCGACATTCATAAACACAAATAAGCGATATGACTTCTAATGTGTGCTCTGCATTTCGAACTTTTACTACCACATTAAAGATGTTCGAGATGTATGTTTTAACAAGGATTTCTATACAAACTTTTTATAGCTAAACTAACTAAACTTTTTTTCTCATCCTGTCCCTTCAAAAACAAAGGAAAGACAAAGCTCGATCTTTCTTGTCAACTATCAATTTTCTTTTTGTTTAGCTAACGCGTATAATTAGTGTAAAAAAATAAGGATAAAAATAAGGACTTACTTTGGCCGCATTGATAAGTTCATCAGCTAAACATTCAGCTATGGTTTTAACACTTTTGAATGCTGAATCACGAGCGCCTACAAAATTCAATAACAATAACCTTTAGATTTAAAGGGAAAATCCTTATTTTTTTTGTTCGTTCACTAACCGGTACACAACAAATAGAGTGCTTGATTAACACGTCTTAATGGTGACACATCGACTGCTTGTCGTCTTACTGTTCCAGCTCGGCCAATTCGAGTTGAATCTTCTCTTGGTCCACTATTAATAATAGCGTTGACAAGTACTTGTAATGGGTTCTAAAGTAGACAACAAGAATATATCAGAGAAAATCGATAACGATTAGATTAATAACTTACTTCACCAGTTAATAAATGGATAATTTCAAACGTATGGCGGACAATTCGAACTGCCAATAATTTTTTTCCATTATTACGACCATGGAACATCAATGAACAAACAAGTCGTTCAACAATTGGGCACATAGCTTTTCTAAAACGTTTAACTTGATAACGTCCGGCTGAATGTGGTAGATATTTGGGTTGTTTCGCTCCAAGGATATAATCCTGAAATTGAAAACATAAATTTTCTATTTTATTTTTCTAAATGAAATCGAAACATACCACCAACGACATATCGGAAATTTGAACTTCGGCACCGCTCCATTTTCCAAATACTCTAATATCACTTGGGGTTGTCAAAGCAACATCTTCAAGAATCACGTCTGACATTTCTAACGTTCTTTTTTACCTTTCAAGAGTTGATCTAAAATGAACATAAAAGCTGTTACATATAGAGTCATTACAATGACAACAGAAGGTATATCAAAAGCAGAAGGGTTCACTGTGTTTTCCTTTAGGATACCAAAAATATTAATTAATGATTTAAACGATTATATTCCGTTTTTCTGATAAGACTTCAAGCTCTACTAAGCTGCATGACATGCAGAACAAGAAGAATTTATTCATGAGAAGTGAGCAATCATTAAAGATTACTGACCTGAAACGCGATGGACTCCGCCAGATAAATAATCAGATATGAATTTAACAACGAAACAAATTTTTTTTTATTGAATTTATACTGTAAACAGGGCATGAATACAAACTGTCTTATATCTAGAGTGTGTTCATGGGCTCATACATTACAAATTGCTAAACGCGAGACTTTACTTAGTCGGTAATCTTATTTTACAGAAGGAAAGTAAATGAGGTGATTGTTGACTGCTTTAGATAGAATAGTTTGAAAGAAAACGTACGAAAACAAATGTATGAAAAAATGCGTGCGTTGTGCGTGAAACTCAACATTGAAGTGTTTGTCTGCGATCAAGCGATCGCTCGTTCGTTGGAATTAACAAAACATTACGACTAATTCTGAAACTCAATAGTATTCTTTCGATTACATAATTTTTATGAGCGTAAGAAATTTACACTGATCTTGTTCGAAACCAGCCTCACCATCGAAAATTGGCCTTAGAATAGTAGTGCAGCACTTCTATGCATTTTATGATCCAAATACCCATTTGGTCAAAATACGCCATCGTTTTCCAAATGGTATTATCTGGATAGTATACATTCTGGATGAAAGCAAAAATGCAATAAAAAAGGGTCAGATCGGCTAGGAGGAAAACTCTGGGCGCAACTCACTATAATTAACGTAATTTTCGTCGTTTTTTGCATTGATTGTAGTAGCTTGTTCCAAGCTTATCTTAACCAATAAAAATTTAATCAAATTTATACTTCCACTGATAATTAAAAGTTACCTTTAATTTGATTTATCCTTTGAAAACACTAGCATCCTAAGAACAAGTCTTGCAATTCTTGACGGATATGCCACGAGACAAGTGTCTCATAACCAGATTGAACAACGATATATTAATTTCAATTAAATTATTCTACTTAAACATGTGAAATTTGAAGGTATTGATCAACAAACTTGATAGTTGAATTTGGATATTGGTTTTTGTATTTGAGTGTCTGAGTCAGAAATCCTTTACCCTTTACAAATGACTTTAATCTATCTGAAACCATATTAGAGAGCCACTAGTATCATTTTCTGAAGTTTCTTGAAATTGTGTAGAGGGTTTTCAAGGTCTTCTAAAGGATTTCTGAAAAACCGTTTTCCTCGATCACATCTAGTTCAAGCTACACGAACTAGATGTGGCATCTCCCTCACTTATTCGAAATTTTAAAAATCGATTTTTATAAAGAGGCCAAAATATTTTTTCAAAATGAGCTGGAGATACCAAGATGCAGTACAAAAACAAAAAGAACGTCGTATATATATATTATAAAATATTTCTTAAAACTTTATAAAATTACAAAAACATGAAATATGAAAGACTTATTGTATCGATAAGTGTACAAAAAAGAGCACATTGATATATCAGAATTAAATACATTTTTCATTAGCAAAAACAAAGTTTTATCTATAAAAGTACAAGGAGATTACAGTTTCGAATGGGAAAATTGATAAACTGTCGCAATTAGAATTAATCATTCTCTCTCTTGTAGTGGTTAGTTTAACGAGCTTAGTAAAACAGCAATGCTACCAGGGTTCGTTCCCCTCTGAGACGCCACAGTCGACGCATTGTTTCTGCTCTACTGGAGTTGATTATGGCACCTCAGTTGGGAACCCTGAATGCCAGCCGTCATTAGTTAGAATAAAACATGCTCAAAACTAAGCTTTTAGCTATTGTTAAGTAAGAATTTAAATGCAATAGAATTTGAACTACTATGATCACTGTATTTTTATCAATGTGTTATCAGCCTAAGACCACCAAGTTCGGTAAAGTTGTGTGGGAACTCACCACCAGGACATGTAATAAACATAAAGTTTTTAGGTACCTGTAATTCATCGCTAATTTTTTGAATAGTCAACGGATTAAATTCTCCTTTAATAAGAACCTAAAAGAAGCAAAAAAAGAACCAGTTTGAATATACTGTAGCTAGTGAAGTGGAACTGGAGTATACAAGAGAAGACAGTATTTATCGAAAACAAAGCCATCTCTCTAAAATACTATGAAACATGAATGCTTGACCACTCTCAAAAGTGTTGGAAAAAAGAGGTGGAATACATAGATTTGGCACCTACCAAATCAATGCACAGTTTCGGATACTGTTTATCAATAAATTTGACATTGTCGATTAAATTTATTGGTATTTCTTCTTCGGTTTTGTATAGGTGAATAATTTGTAACCAGTCTGTAAGTTCATTTGATCGAACGTATAATACACCTTTGTTAAGCACTGAGGGATCATCGACTTTGGTAAAAAATATCATTGGTTGATGTTCTATAGTTTTATATTGTCGAAATAACATTTCATTGAAACGACCTAAGAACCACACTTGCGAGGTGAAATAAATAATTAATTTTAATACACGACTTCGTGCAAACATAATCATCACGACGAGAAAAGTAGTACCAAAATAAAGTAAAAAATATTTTACATGATCAAGATGAAGAAAAATTTCTCCGGCTAGCCCAGCAAAAACAGTAGCAAGTCCAAGGAGAACACGAGGCCAACTCGCTACTACGGTTCGACGAAGTGCTCCTCGTTTATATTTTAATATCATATTGCCGATTGCAAATAAACACATAACACTGAGAAAAGCGATTGTATAGACACCTGCTAATGAATCAATGTTCCCTCGAACGATGAAGTGTAATAACGATGTGACACCAAAAAATCCTAGTATAATAAAATGGTTTGTTTTCCGACAAGGGTTCTCTTGTGCGAAAAACATTGGTAAACACCGATCTAAACTCATACGTCTTATAAGACCAATGATTCCCACGTAGGACGTCAGAACTGCTCCCGAGAGCACAAGTAATGCATCAGCTGCGACAAATTTATTTAACCAATCTCCGGAACTTGCTGTTGCCAAAGCTGCTAATAAATCATCTCGATGTCCTTCAATTTCCTCAAGTTTCATGACAAATAATGCTAAAAACGAAATAATGGGATTAAAAAATGATACAAATAACCACATGTTTCTTAAAGTTTTTGGAAACACGCCGGGTTTTTGTTCTTCGATATAATTAGCAGATGTCTCAAATCCCGAGACACCTAAGAGTGCCAAAGAAAAACCAAAATATATATCGGCTGGCACGTTACCACTCTGATGTTGATTCCAGTTTTCTCGCAATCGATCAAAATTGCCCATTGCTACAATTTTAACGATACACATAATAACTAATAATGTCATCGTTCCGATATGAATAATGAAAATAAAGAGAGCAACATTCGCGGATTCTTTTAATCCCATCAATGTTAGTAGTGCAAAGAAACCAAGTAGTACAATAACAGCCCAGTCTGGATTCAATCCCGCCCATAAGTTTTCTCCGTAGGCAATCGCACTACTACCCGACACAACGGCTGTGGCGATATATGACACTAAAGTGAGACAGGCGGCAATCGATGCAATTAATTTTGTTGTACAATTTAGTAAAACATTATAGGCACCACCGTTTAACGGTAAAGCCGTACCAACCTCTGCATAAATATTTCGAAAAAGATAGAGAACGAAAGCAACAATTGCAAGCGAGATTGGTGAATATTTGCCGGCTTTCTGTGCGCATATCCCCGCTGTATATAAACAAGATGATGTAATATCATTGCCTGCTATCGCTGTACTGTGCCATTCACCTAAAAGCTTGTGTTCATTACTCCTGTTATTTTGTCGACAATAAAGAAAGGATAAAAATTTTTGTGCTGCTGTTGTTGATGAAGAAGATACCGGAATTGCTTCATGCGTCGGAATGTTCGGTGTGAGAGAGACTCGTCTAACTTTTCCCTTAAAAAATTACAATAAGTAGTTGCTGCTTTTCAAAGAATTGCATTTATATGTGCTTTACCCATCGATTAAATTCCCAACTGATAGAATGTCGGTAATGACGATAATATGATCCAGTCTGAGATAGTAGATCTGACGTAGTTTGTTCATTTACTCTGGAATGTGGATGGATTAATAGTGGTGATGCTTCATTGACAGATGGATCATTTGAAATGGTAATTATATCCATAAATTTTCTCTAAAACAGAAAAGCAGTCGCTTGGGAATATGTAATGGCAGCGTAAGTGAAAAATCTTATGACGATATTATTTATAAGTAGATCATTGCCTCCTTTAAAAACAGAAACCATGTTGAACATGATTACTTTAGGACTTCAATTGTGAACTTTAAAGTCATCTTTGCTATAAATACGTATATTTATCGCAGTATGCGTTGGTAAGTACATCAGAAACGTTAAAATTCACAACTGAAGTCCTGAAGCAATCATGTTCAACATGGTTTATACAGAGGCAAATCAGGGATTTTACTTACTTTTGATAGTGCTATATGATACACACAGTCAAATCTTCCAATATTTCAGTCTTGTACAAAGTTACTAGATCTGTGCGGAAGTACTTACCTCTAATTTCGTCAGAAAAACACCACCCAGGAAATGTTGCTTGCTTCAGGCCCCTGAACAGGGGCCGTATTACGAAAAAACCTAAGTCAAAGAGTGACTTAAGTCAGGAAAAATGTAGTCTTAAAATTAAGACTGAAAACTTAAGCCAGTGACACATTTTTCGAATAATTCAAGCATTTAACGACACAACTTGACGAAAACGACTTTTTAAGGTTTAGAGAATAAATATTTCATTATTTTGCGGGGTTTTGTCCTAAGTTTGTCACTGTTGTCAACGACTGTACTCTCAAGAAGTAAAGAAATCACCAACTTAAGTGTTTTTGTAATACGGTTTAAGTCCCCGGACTTAAGTCGGTCTTAAACTTAGACTTAAATCACGGCTTAAGTCGATGCTTTAAGTTATTTTGTAATACGATTCCCAGTTGGATAGAGCTTAATAAGATAAATTTATTAAGATATGTATCGATTCTTCTTTGTATATCTAGAATTGTCAATGATTAATTTTCGACATTGGACATTTATCAACAAATCATGAGAGGCTAAGGGTGAAGTCAATTAGTATTTGCAAGCCTTACTAACGCCATCTGCGGCAGCGTTTAATAAACAACTAAACTGAATTGAATCCAGAAAGAGGATCGATGCAATATTTTCAAAGACGGTATTCTAATTACGTCCATGACAAGAGTGAGGATAACGGATGTAAAACTCTCGGTTTTCAATTAAATCGATAGAGTCAAAAACCCGATGTACTTGACGGATGGCTCCTAACTGGTGTATAATTCTCTTCGCTTTTGAGTTGCAGCACGCTTTTTTCGTTCTTCGTCAGACAAAATAATAATCGAATAGTCTAACACATGACATAATTATTATTGTGCTGATATATATACTGAATGATTCCGTGAATAATATGAATCCACCGGAGTTAGATCATTGTCTATTCTATAATTGGTTAACAAATGATTTTGCTGATTTATATTCGAAAGCTCAAACTGTTTGTTCACTAGTTCTTGTTCCATCATCAAACGTTACAAAACATGATTGTAACAGAGAATTTATTGAATCACATTTATTTCGTTCATCGGCATTATTTAAAGGAAAACACACTAGTCTCAATCAAAAGTATGAAATATCAATTGAAGATAATCGCACAATTTATATTCATAAACCAGTAACAGATAAATTAATTAAGATACTCGATCAAGAAAATGTTTTTGACAGTTTAACACATCGTTCATACATCCTGTTAATCATTGATCGACCATTGAATTCTACCTCATCATTTATACCACTAATACCAACGAAATCAGCATTCAAATTCCAACCAACAACAGCTAACTATGAAACAGCATTCATCTTTTTGGATTCTCTAAGACCGATTGAAGATTTATTTACAAAATTACGAACTAGCTTACTTCTATTCGCCGAAACATATGTCATCTTACCGAATTTTATTGATGATGCTGTTGATAAATTAAAGCACTTATGGATAACATTTGTTAATGAAGCGTGTCAAATATTAAATATCGATTCATCGAGAAAACAACATTATGAACAGTTGACAACACGACAAGATATTGAATTAGCGAGTGAAATATTTATAACAGGAA